TTGATGTGGTCACAATCCGGCAAATTAGCCTGCTCGCGTTTTCTACTGATAAGGGTCGGTTTGTATAATAGACAGCCTGCGACAGAAGTCACCGCGTGACGTGACGTGGCTGAGGTTTGTAAGAAGGTGACCCTTGCTCTAATTTCGAGCAATTTTCAGGCTGTTCGCCTACGTTAACGAGACACTTTTCAAACGGCCAGTCTATGCTACCTTGATCGAAGTGTACAACAGGACATCTATACGACCCAGACGTCAGTTTACAAGATCAAGTACAATAACATGGCAGGTAGCATACAAATGGAGTGCATTTGCCATAATGGAGCAAAGTGAAACCAACGCGTACAATCCGTATGCAGTCGCGTCGCCTTTCCGAACATGAAGCGAATTTTCCAAGAAATAGTAGGAAAATGGAGTAACACATTACGGATCTGTTTGCCCTGGACACATCACAGTACCTGGCCGAGATTCTTGCAAGCAAAGTTTTATCACTTGGTTAGGCGTGCAGGATAAAAATGACTAGTAGTAAAGAAAGTTAGCTCCCCAGCAGGCTAATTCTAAAAGCGTTTCACGTTTTCCTTCGTATGATGCATTACAAGCGCATTGGTAAGGATCCCGGACACTGTTATCCCGCCCACTGAAAGCGCTCCGCCTACCTTTTTGCCACCTCCTTACTCCAAAATTTTCATTCAGGTATGCCGTGCTGATTCGGCGATGAACGGATTCCGAAAAGCTCAAGTGCAACTGATGTTTGACACATGGACTGATACAAAAGTCTTCCAACTGGTCTTCGAATATTTGCAAAGGAATGGTATAAACGTAAAACTTTTGAATAAGCAAAATGCATTCAAAATTCCTCTCTAATTCAGGCAACAAGTATGCGACCAATATGAAAACGTTGAAGGAATACTTATGGAATTTATGGTTTGGCACCTACTCACGCTGTAGAGGGCCAATGGGAAGTTCTGGTAAGAATGGGCTCCTAAAGGCACTTCACCATGCTTTGATGACGATTTGTGGTAGTATTTTACCCGCCTTTCCCTTCTTATAGCAGGCATGTTTTGAAACACCGTTTGAAATCGCCTTGTAGGCGGAGCCACTGGTATGACCCTCCTCTTCTCGCCTTTCATTCTCGGGAGGAAGAACGCGCCAATGACGTCGTTTTCTACGTTTCCCTAGCTCCGCCCACCTTGCGATGCCTGATGGTGCTCCTAATCCGAAGCCAGAGAGTGTAGGAGAACCAAGCTTTTCCCATTTCTCTTTAATGAGAATGCAAGGATACAGTTGATTTCGTTACAATCGCTCGAGGCGGTGTCAAGAGACAGGTGGCGAGCCCACTCTTGGCGTTTTCACCATTGGTTGTTTTTATCCTGAATCAATCGCTTACTGATCGATATTGCTAGAAAAGAGAGCTGGAGACGGATCAACCAGTTCCTCCTGGCACCTGCCAACAGGTTTCTGCCATATCAACTGTACTTGTAGTAGATTCCATGGTCCGTCTTGTGAACTTTCTTGAACATTCGTTACACGCTGAACGTGTAGGTGGAGCCAGGCCTTGTACTGTGCCTTCAGGACTGCTTCCTTCCTTTTCCGAGACTGTACCGATGGGCTTGTGCGCGCTAATGAGTCAGGCAATCGTAGACCCGACTTTGTCCACATGACTAGCATAAAAGATTTCTTCGAACAAAATACATATATTACAAATTTTTCACAGGTTGGGAGCATGTGTTCGTTGGGGAATGGAAGGGTAGGAAAGTTGATGGACATCACAGCTGGGTCAGATATTACTTGCTCCAGAAAAGTGATCTTATCGATTATCATGGATATTATGTCTACGTACCGGTAAGCTTCTGAGGAAATTTCTGATATAAAATGCAGAAAAAGTAAAATTAGAAGGATAACTGGATTTGAAGGAGCGCCTCTTTTGAATGGCGTGCTCGATGGCACTGGGCACGATGGCTGGGGGCGGACGGCTACTGCCACTGATGGAAAGGCTGCAAGAGGGTGTCTCGTCACACCCTCTTCAACCCTTCTACCAATGACGGTAGCAGTCATTGCTCGTCCCCAACCATCGTGCCCCCTGCTTTTAAATTGGAGGCTAAAAGCTTGGATTTCACGTAAAGGCAGGGCACATTAAGTTGATGTTGGCCCAGTGTGCTATTTATCAATGGTCAAACCAATGTACGTGTTTCAGCAATAAATGAGTGACAGTGGGCAAAATAGCTGTTTTTAAGCAGGTCACAGGCACATTACAACGTTTACTGGGCCACAGGGATTGACGAAAACTCGGGTTACCGCTTTAGTAGCACTCAGAATCCTTGAATGCTTGAAAAAAGACTCAGGCGAGAAATGCGAGAGCATTAGGGACCGTTGCCAGTTGCCAGTCCTAGAACACTTTTCAATCAATTCCACTCATTTGACCTTCTAGTAAAGTTTTTTTCTGTCTAAGTTGCAGTCTTGTTAGTTTTGCAAATCACTCAGTTATTAGCGTGGATCTTGCTGAGTACAACAATGAATGCAGTTCAGTCCTTGAAGATCCGCTGACGAAGCTGTTCAATTCCAGGATCTCATTGGCACCGTACAATACACCTGGGAGAATCATGTGAAGCCTAAGGGTGGTTTCCTCATTGGAACCTCGCCAGGTTCGTAAGTACATTCCACACATGTCATGAAAAATTTATTTAGGACCTGTTTGGCTGTGTATGGCAGCTGTAGTGTGTCGAAAAATTACGACTGAGCTGAGCTTTACTCTTTTGGTCCTAATTTTCACAGTGATCGCTTGCGCCCTATGAAAGCCCTACAGATTTCTAAACATGGTCCAGTAGAAGCTGCCGTTTGAGTCAAAACCTTATGTTCTCCTAATGCCCATTCGTGCTGTTAGTGTGGGAGAGTTGTTTCGATGCCAGTTGCAGCCTTATAGCCATCAAGGTGTCCAATCTCGGCTGAACGCACACCCCGCCTACTCTTGTAGCAATTGCAATCAAATTACGAGCGTAAGAGAAATAAGCCGAATACTTGCAGCATTCGACTTCTCTCTGTTTTCTGTATGTGCGCTTTTACATAATGGAGATCATGGCTGTAAGTACAGCATTGATGGACATCCTCTCGGCGTCACATCCTTCAAACAGCCCTGCTCAGCAGGAACCTGCCTTGCAACGGCCTATCCGGTCATTTGATTCAATGACAACTTTATATTTATCTTCGAACCTTCGTAGAAAGCAGGGTATAATAAAGTTTATCACTAGTAATTGTTTGATAACAAGTGTTTGCCATTAAGTCACGTGTGAAGAGATTTCTCGCTAAACAGATCAATGTTACGGCATAAATCGCAGTACCTATACGAGTCCGTCTGTCACAGACACGACATAACAAGTTGTGTTTTTTGGTAATTGCGGCTAGACTCGCAGGCGATCGAAAAACCATTTGTACAAATTAGTTCATCAATGCATCGTTGACCTATCGCACCTCGTTCTGTTGCAAACTAACTCTTTGCAGGATGTCAGTTTTGCATAACAAAGAGCAGTGTTATCACCGGTATTGCGTGTATTTCATGCATGATTAGCTCGCATTGGCAGAATGAGCAGAGCTCGGTCCTTCGCTTCAAAAAGGGACTCGAAACTCTAAGAAATGAGAACGGAATGGGAAGTTTTGCGCTAATACAAAATAGATATTTGATTTCACGCCGTTTAGGATACATATTCCGGAGATGGAAAGGGCGTGGCTGCGTTCTTGTTTGGAACGTGGCGTAGAAATCGTTTTCATGGGTAGTTTCCACAAGAAACGGCACGACCTCCTGAGATAATGTCCCCTTCCCTTTATTTGTGCTGAAAGAGAGGTATGATGGCAACTGATTCGCAACACGAAAAGATCCCATGTACATCACTGCCGCCGCCTTGTTCAAATGAACTACGCAGCCACGCCCTCTCCATCCCTTGAATAGAGTGTATTTATGTCTCAGTGAAATTGTGGTGAATGCCTTCTAGCACTGCAAATGCAGAACAAATTCGAATTCTAGAAGATGATGGATAGTTTCTGCTAGTCGGCCGAGTTTGCCTTATTCTGGAGTCCTAGAGTACTTAAACACCTGATCAGATAATCTCAAAAGATAGAAGGAAAGACTGACTGGCAACCGGCGCGAAAATGCTCTGAAATATGCATAAAATACTGAATTTAATCGACATGCGTCGAAACTGATTTTGTAAACTAAGGAAACAATCGATTGCAATGTTTCGAGTGGGTCTCGATTGCGTGGCGCATTTCAGTTTGATCCAGATGTTTATCCGATCCGCTGTTTCGAGATGGCCAAAATACAGGTTTTTTCTACTTTTCAAACATTTCTTTTCTGGCATTCTTCCTATTCATTGATTCTTCTCGTCGACTTTATAGCTTTATTCTTCTGGAATACTCAACTGCTAACAAAAATGCAAAGCTTGCAACTTTGCAAACCTTTTCCAGGGATCTGATAAGTGGAATGACGTCAATGCTTTTGAAGGGCACAGCGCCTTATCTTCAGCGTATTTTACCCCACAAGCCAGCCTTGGTTCCCTTTTTACAAATCTTTCGCTTGGGTTTGGAGGCGATTCCTCTGAATGAGAACTCCCGCTCTTGTTCTTTCTTCAGGAATCAGCTTGAACTCGGTTTGAGGTGTGTAGTGAATTTCTGTGGAAAGAGAAGTCCCTAGACGAGACGGTTCTTCATGACCATTTAGAAATGGGATGGGAAAGGTTCCGAGTTCTCAAAGACGGAATTCTGAACGCCGAGTCCTTCAACTTTGAATCATGCAGTCAAATAAGGAAGGATCGGGAAAGAGGTAGGGGCAGTAACCGGTGTGAAGGGTTTAGGACCAGAACATTCTGCGAGAAGTCAAAGGGCAACACAGTTGCTCTCACTAGGGGAGGTCGTCAGGTCGAAGTGGCCATTTGTAATGAAATGTAGCTCTCTCTAGACGTGGTTTTTACGACCTAATTCTTGGCCTTTAAATTTGCGAAGCGATTCTCTTAACGGAGTTATGGAGCTTTTTCCACCGCGTTTACCACCCAAGGTCGTGGGATCGGATCCCTGCTGACTTAACTTTGCTTCTTGGCAAACGTGGCAACAAGTGGTTGTGGCGTCACTACTACAATAGCGCTCTCCTTAACTTGCCTGAAAAACAGAAGCGCTTAGTGCCCTGTGATCTAGGGAATTATTTGGATGTACAGGTGCCCTTGGCGCGGAGTGCAGGCGTTTTCGCGCTGAGCGGGTGCCATATTCGTGTTTATCGTGGCGAACTACGCCTAGGTAGAGGTTCAGCCCAAAATCTGGCAATCTTTGACCTGACTTTGGGGGGCGATAAGTGAAGAGCATCCATGGGTTACTTCTATTGATGTTAACACCTATTCAGCTGCAGATACATTGTCCTGCACAAGGCCTCGTCTTGCCACTTCTTACGCATTCATGTTGTTACTGCTCCAGTTTTCCTGGTATCTAAAAGCAAATTCCGTCCAAAGACAAGCAATCGACAAGAGACTGGCCCTGGAACTATTGGTGACCATCATTCGATCAACTGCTACCGCACTTTTCAAAGTTATCAAAACCTCACATCTGGCTAGAAATCTGTTCCCAGGGGTAATTTTGCTTTCTGAACACGAATATGACAACCATTTGGCGTATGAGTGTTTTCTAGACTCAAAAGCGACATTTCTCACGAAATGCAAAAATGGTTCCCTTCTAACCGAAATTCGAACCCTTCATGGCATGCCCGCGAAGCAAGACCATTACGACTAGAACATGTCCCCGTTTATTGTGACGGTTCTTCCCGGCCATTCATGCCAAATGGCTGGCAACCGCGCTCGACTCGGTTTTCCTTCAAAATTTGAATTTCAAAGAGAAGCGGCTTCATAATTCCTTTCACAGAATCGCTTTGCAAATTTCAAAGGCAGATTCGAGATCAGCGTCCAAAACCACGTCTAGTGAGCTACATCTCATTACAAATGGCCACTTCGACCTGACGACCTTCCCTAGTTAGATGAGGTGATTACTATTGTCCGCCTAGTGGCTGATTCCGCATCCGCGTTAGCGCGCCAAGTCGCAACAAAAGAACTTTCTCTGAAATCAACTCAGTGGTAGCGCAGCTTCAGCCCTATACAGCTATTATTTAGATAGTTGAAAATGTGAAAATTGCACTTGCTTGGTGACGAACTCTCACTCTTCTCTCTACAAACCTCCTTCTCGACGCCAGCCGTTTGGAAGAAGACAGAAGATTATCTGAAAAGATGTGGAAAACTGGGAACACTTGATAGGAAGTAGAGAAAGTCGATAAGGTGGTAGATGGGATGAGGAAGGCGCGTACCAGGAAGAGGACATTTGCGGTGGGGGGGGGGGGGGGGGGGGGGGGGGGGCGGGGAGGGGAGGGGAATAGGCATTTTTCCAAAAAATCTTATTCAGCCGAAAGTGGTCTCTGGTACGTATAAAAGCCTTCCGGTCTTACTACGTTGGTAGATGACTAAGCAACAACCACCTCCTGGGAACGCCATCTGGGAGCCCACAGCATCGTGGATTCATAGACAGATTGTCGGTAGTCAAAAGTAAACCACGTGTTGCCGGCAGTTCTACGTAACGATAAGAGCGTCATAGCTTCTTATCAGAAAAATTAGACAAGGCCACCCTTCCAGCTTCATAAAACCGTTCGACGGAGCCACCCGTTTTTTTGTTTACCGCATTTTCACAACTAATCAGGCCATTTTACCAGCTCTAGTGCTGCTTACTGTCAACCATTACAATGACAGTTAATGACTAAACACTGTTTAAGGAGAACAGATAATAGTGCAGCTTTCGCCTTGTCTCTTTGCTCCTTCTTTTACTTACTGAACCCGAAAAAATGTTGTAATTCGCTAAATTTCAGGTAACACCGATGATGGTCCCATCAATATGTCTACTGCTGCTCGTTGCTGGTGTCTGCCAAGGTAACTACTTATTCTTATTGGCTCCTTTGAGAGCTGCTGCTTGAAACTAGGAGGCCAGAGTCGTTCGACAGGGCGCTGATTCTGTAGTCCTCTGAACAGCACTAACAGTTCTTTTGAGTTAATCGAACATTATAATTTCAAGGGACAGACGACTGATAAAAATGCAGTGTTTAAGAACAGATAATAGTGCAGCTTTCGCTTTGTCTCTTTGCTCCTTTTTTTACTCACTGAACCCGAAAAAAGCATAAATATATAGCATAGCACAACTAATAGCCTCAGAGAAGGAGGAAAAGGGAGGATGACTTATGCCCCAACTCACAGTAATTCGTTTTTAAGCAAAACGAAGACATTTAGGACATGTGAAAATCCCATATCTGAAAGTCCATCCGCTAGCGGGAGTTGTGAGCATTACTAACCTGTAGGAAAGAATTTAATGGGTCGAGCTCCATTCGTGACACGCATCGTGATCGAGTGCTAATGTTTCAAAGTAACAGGGCACGATAAAGTGCTTACTCAAAAATGGTAGTAGGGAAGCTATACAGTATAGGAAAGTGACGAAAAAGTTAAACGGCCGAGGACCTGCAAAAAATTTCGTTCTGCACGGCATTGCACGATCATTTTCAGAAAGGGTTTCCCGTTGGCATAGTGCAATTAATCGTTTTGATAGAGATGGCAGCACGTACTGTCCTCATCATTACGGACTGTCGGGGCGGCCAGTAGGAGTGCGCACACTGTTTGAAGCCGTTCTCAGCCTTTTTGTTGAAACGCGTATGCGAAAACGAGTAATACGAAGGATATAATACAGTAATGTCACTTGCCCGCTTCAACAATTGGTGCAGAACGACTTTGGTACCGCGCCAAACGCAGCCGCACTGACACGCCCCGACAGTCCGTAATGATGAGGATTGTATGTATTCATTTATCCATGTAGCAACCCTTCATATCAATTGTTCTCCATAAATGAAGCGATAAGACTACGATCGTTGAGGTGCAAGGCCATTTGTGGGCGGGCGTTACGATGGGCGTCTGCTTGGGCATGCGGCACCTTGTCTAGGAGCTTTAATGGTGCCCTTGATTGGAGAAGGCGCCATACAGCGCCTGCTGAGCGGCACAGCATTCTCCCGTGCTAGGAAGATCCTCACAAAACACGACCCCTGTCATGTTATCCCATATTTTGCCATACTTTCCTACAATCCTGCGGTCAATCAGAGGGGTAGGGGGAGGGTGGAGAGGGGTAGAGGTGTAGACACCTTCGTTCAGCTCCCAGTCATAGTAGTTGTGCTGCGTCGCTGACAAGGGAGGAAGGGATGAACAGCTAGAAGAGAAAATTTAGAAGTCGGGAAGCCTTTATTCTTCTCTTGGAGACGACTTTCTCTCTCAAGCAGCCAAATACGATCTCTGCTGGGTTACAAAGACATGCTGAGATCTGGCACTACGCCTCCGTTCCTTCACAGAGGTCAAAATTGCACATCCACGGCGAACGCAATTCTTTTCAATTGATGCCCAAGTGCCAGGCCTTTTGTTGAGATGGAAACCCTGTCTGAAACCCCGCAAATTGTTTTGAAGAAAGTGGTACGGAATTCACTTTGTACCCTTACATCTGTCATCTTGTTGATCGAACAGATACAATTTCGAGTATAATCCGCCTTCGCTCTATTGCCCAGATTATTCGTTTTCGTTGCAGCACGTAACATACGAGCATTCGATCTGCAGCAGGTCTCAGATGCGTTGAATGCGTTAGTGCCACTCGATGCTCGACTTGATAAGTCCACAGTATACAACTACCAAGTGTGTTTTATTCAGGATTATCTCTACTTTTTACAACTTGCTTAGGAACGATAGTGATAAAACAGTACTAATAGAATTGCCTGCACTTCCCAAACATCTGCGTCACTTGCGAGTAATAGCGACAGTCCACGTGCATTGCTTTTCTCTGCTAATTCACTTCTCCAAGAAGTTACTATCGCTAAGAGAGAATCTTCTTTAAAGGCAAAGCCCGCGACCACAGATTGTGGGTAACGGAACCCACATAGGAACGAAGAAGGGCTTGGTATCTGATTAGCGGAGAAAAGCAGCAGAAAAACAGCCAAAAATGCCCTAAATAGGATTCCATATCGACTCCAACTTGTACATGCATGCAATGAAGAAAACGCATGTTTGTACGAATTTCCACTCGTCGTTATCATAAAGATATCAGCTCTTTATCTTATCACCTCACTCTCACCATTCGGAATGAAGAGAGATAGTATAGTGGCTACTAGCTAGTAGCTAGCAGCCGTTGGGGTCGGCATGGGCCTAAGGGGCGCCAATGGGCCTAATTGGTTAGCTTAAAGCGGAATTCTTGCCGATTTTCACTTTCTAAAGGTAGCGCAGCCTCCGCAATCTCCTTCCGGATCGTCTGACACATTTGAAAGGTCATAGCCTTATTTTATCGCGGAAAGTGCCTTTAAACGCGACCGGCTGCTGCATCATTCACTGACCAGTGGCTTACTAATTCATGGAGAATCACCCCTTAGCGACGCCGTTTGAGATGTCCAGGTGGGCGGAGCCAGAAAACGACGACACTGGCTCTCCTCTCCTCCGGGTCACATGATGACGAGAACTTTTGGTGGGGTCCTGGCGCATAAGACGGCAGCTAACTCTTCGAAAGGTGTAGGAAGGATGTGGCGAGATGAGGACTGAGCTTATTGACCCCGGTATAGAGGAACCACCTATCATGCGTGAGAAGATAGATCGTGTGGGGTATCAACGGTCATAGAATCTCAGGCAGACGAGGGAGCGCAGCGAAAAACAGTAATTTGACCCGATTGAAGGGATTGCTTTCGATCTGCTCGCTGATCCATCCCCTGTCAGCCTTCTGCGGGCCCGCCCACACGGCAATCCCGAACCGCGCTATAAGTCGTTGACCCGCGCGTTTCATGGAGGATCTGCAGTCCTCGCCTTGAGTTATACCTCATGATGCAATTACAAGAAGCTAAAGAAAGTAGGCTCCTAGAGCTTGTTTCAACCCTTAAAGCACGAAATATCCGTTAGTTACCTAGTAACATGGAAGAGTACTGAACAACTGACTGCAATCAAGAGGTTTTTTAGAGGAGCCTTTTTCAGAACATGGCATCTACCAAGGATTTCACTCACGACAACGCCAAACAAAACCTGATCACTTCCGTCGACAATAGCGCAATCAGTGGAGCCACTTATAAAGCCTACAACAATCTGATTGTAATGTCAAGACTATTTTCTCATAGCTCAATAGGACTCCAGCCCTTTTGATTCAATCCCTAGGCCGGGCTCTATCAAAGCACTCAATAATGATGTACTTAACTGGGGTAGTCATTGGAAAAAACTTGTATGAAGCTGTAGATTTTCGGGTACTTTCTCGCCTTTCCGACTTCACCTTCTCCCTGCTTGTCCACTCCTCCCCCTCATCGGGGTCGATGGCAGGTTTTTTTGGATTTGCGTGGTAGGGTTTCAGCCAATCCATGTTTTTTTCACATCCCCATGATGCAAAGTCGTGATCCCTGCAAGCGATAGGGCATGTGAGGGGACAAGAGGTGGATCGCAGCCGGAAAAGCTTACACGCCAGCAGTTGCCTGCTCAATATGACATTGGCAGAAAGGGCTGTCATAGAAGCATCACAAGCCATGCCTCGTCACACGCCCTGTTTGTAATGGTCACGACTGTACATCTGCGCAAAAGCTGTTCCAGCCGGAAGTTTATCGAGGAACCTTTTTGCGTGATTCCTGGAGCTACCGCCTATATCATACTCATCCACTAAGATTCCTATGCTATGTACTGCCCCTCAAAACCTGCTAGTGCTCTGCTTTTCATCAGAGTGACCCAGCTTTCATTTTCAGTCCTTTTACAATCAGCCTGACGTGGATGTAGCAGAAGTGGTTACATCAGACTGGGAATCCTCGATCAATGCCTTTCTGGACGCGGTCATGAGCACTGCGGTTATGCAGAGTGCTCAACAATTCCTGACAAAACAAGGTGAGTCTCGGTACAGCGGATATCTCTGCACCTGCAGGGGCGTGTCAGGGCTATGAATTGTGTGGATTAATGGAGGGCGGTGTCTGCGCCTCTACGAATCGTGGCTCACATCAGGCCGGCAATCAGCCAATACAACCTAGCCACCACCTCCCATTTCTCCACGCACCTGACGATATTATACGCACTAAGCTGTGATCATTTCAAAGTTGCACTGTCCCTCCTGCTTAGGTACCGTATCGGATAATGTGTCGTTCAAAACACTTCTTCATTCACTGTGGTTCACCCAGTACGCGAGAGACACTGCAGTTGGTAGCTCAGGTATGTTTAGATATGCAGGTCTGGGTGGAGTTCCTTTCAGACTTTTCGTCGACAGTGCTAAGCTGATTTGCCTGAGAAGTGTGAGCGCAACGACTAACGTGAATAGTTACTCCTAGTAGTCAACCAGTTTATCTCCATGCAATGAAGCAAACACAGTACATATATCTTGCGCCCCAGTAAATATCACTCTGAACAATTACAGGATTCGAATCTGTTTTCTCTGGAGAGATTCAAGGCGGTGACGTCATTCGTTTCAACAACTGGTTCCGATTTTATCAGTTAGAAACTTCCGGCAACGTCAACTATCATGGATGGTTCACCAAACAAGCAGTTCGTTTTGATTTTGTAATACATTTCAGAAGGAAAAATAATTAAAAAGGTACGGTTCCTCGACCGTTAGAGGCAAGTAGCTCCTCAAAGAACCTAATACACTCTGAGCTTACTAAAGCTTTCCAAAAAACCAAGTAAATTCGATATAATCGCAAGGGAGTAGCAACGCGGTTTTCTTTCGCCGATCGAGCTGTACCTTTTCCATGCAGAAGGGTAGACCCCGTATGGGCTTATCTACGCTGAAATGGAAAAGGGGGGTCGTATCGAGACCCTCCCTTACTGACACCACCATTTCACACATCACGATGCTGTACCCTCATAAGGCAGAATATACATTTTTGACAATATAATATTTAAAATTTTACAAAAGCACACGCGGATCATGAACATTCGTCCTTGTCGCTGGAGTCGTCTTGAACATTGGCCCTTTGCGTTCCGCTACGTCGACGATACTGTCTAGCGCGACGACCAGGAGGAGTCGGTGGAAGGGTTTCACGGGCCGGAACAGGCCTGAATTCATAGATCATTACAACCAATTAACCTTTGCGGATGTCAGCTATGTGAAACTGGAAAGCGATTTTCGAATATTGAACACTCGCTCAAGCATTGAAGAGAGGTCCATAACAAGATCGTTGATCCGCTTCATAATCTGTTCCATATCAGTCATTTTCGACTCGCACAGATCCAGGCGACGGGTCATGCAGAGCTTCTCCCCGCTGGGTCCATTTAGAGATGATATGCCTGGCTTTCCGATCATAGCATTTACTCTTAGTTCGAGCTGTAATGTCATTAGTGGTACTGGTTCGATAATTCAAGTAAAACTGTGAAAACAAGAGCGAAACCAATGAGAGCCCCAGAAGGGAGAATGGATGTTTAGCTGAGCAGATCTCAAGTTTTCTTTTCGGCTGTTCCTAAACTTCTTGTTCGCTGTACCCTTTTTACTTGCCACCTGAACACTCTCGTTACGGCCGAGTTGTGGCATCGCGCGCAAACTAACACCCGAAGTCCCCTTCTCCTAAAAATGCTTACGTCCTGGCTACGGTATCTTTGTTGCAACATTTGATGCCCTGGCAGCAGCAATCCCCTATTTCTCCGCGCTCTGGCATTCCACGCCAAGACCACTACGAAAAATCCTAGTTGTCACGTAACCGTATGCGCGATGGCACGATTCGGAGTTCCTGCTCACGCCACCCATGTTAAATGCAGGAAGGAGGAAAGTGCTATTACTAGTCTACTCACGTCCCTTAGATGCTGATGCCGTACATTTTCTTGTTCTCGAACTTCGGCATCAAATTCCAGCAATCGGTCAGATTTCCGTAATCGTCGAAACTTCTTCGCATACTGTCGAAAAAGAAGAAAGTTGAAGAACCGTAGAAGGGGTCTGTATTTAAGGAGCCTCCATTCGTCCACTTCTGAAATGCTTAGCGTTCCTTGGTTTTTACTCTGGCTAAATCGATCTTGAATAAGCAACCGAAAATCCCGAAAATAATTTGCTTGAACTTTGTCTGAAGGGTTATCGGTCAAGGTGCCAAAAGCATGGTAAAGACACTCACTAACTGGCGTTTCAATCTTAATCAGCAAAACAATTACATTGCAGACTGGCACTATATTGCGTCCTGATCATATTTATGTCGCTCATTTTTGCTAACGGCACAATCAAGAGATAGACTGGTAATTACGCCAGTTTGCTCCCTTTTTCTTCCCACTAAATTTGGAATAATTATACTGAGTGGGAGGGGTCAAAAAGAGGACTAGTGGCCAATATTACGTGCAATAATGGAGCTGCGGCTAGAAATGCATGCCATGTTCGTCAGCTAATGATAATGAAAGCTCTGTTCGAACAGCTACACTACCAGTCAAGCCTGAATGAAATACACACCTGAAATATCCACAGAATCGGATCGATCATCATCATACAAATTGTTCATGTCGATTTGCGTTTCAATATCGGAAATGTCAAAAGATGACGAGAGATTTGTATCAGTTGATCCGCGTCGCTCGAACATACTTACTTTCTAATGGAGTAAACTATACTAAACGACGATTTTCGTCAGAAAACACCATTGAAAACCAAATTCCTAGGAACGCTGTAGCTTTCATCACCTCCCAGAAGTTCCAAACACAGCGCACCTCATGACTCGCAGAGAGGTGAAATGAAAAAAAAGTTAAGCATGAAATTTACAAAGCTGTCATTTTTGCAACAGACACTGCGTGTCAGGGGCATTAGGATACTATCACCTTGTATTCCGGTCTATCGTCTGCATGCTCGATTTTTCGTCATTATATGCTGGAACAGGGCTCATACTCAGCTGCAAAAAAAGGGGTCCTAGTTGAGGCTCTTTCAAGGGCGCTGCTTGGTGAAGGGCGCTGCTTGGTGGGTGAAGGGCAGAGAGCATTTTGCCTTTCGTGCTGCATCTCAATATGGGACTTCTTAGCGGCAGGAGCTGTACCCCTTAGGTTTCAACGCCTTGACGTTCCTTGCGCTCTCAAAAACCCAGCTCTTCCCCCCAAAAGACCGGACATGAAGTATGTCGCTAAAAATAACATATCAGCGCCATGTTCTGCTTCACCACAATCGACAAAAGGGGAGTGTCGTTGCTTCTGAGAGCCACGAGACTAACTTCAAGATTTCTAGCGCTAATTTCGGAGTATACAAACGTTTCGTCCCTTCAGAAAGCTCACCTCAGAAGTATCATTTTCTTTATAACCGCTGTGAGCTTCAGGAAGACTCTGAAAATTCAATAATTACTTCATTCAAAGGCCACACTAAACGTGAAAGTACCATGTTCCTTTTCAACGGGGCGATTTTGCGATTCCGCTGCACCTGTAAGTGAAACCATTGACACGATCATCATCTTCATAATGGCTCTTGAGCACTCGTCAAAATAATAAATGGATGTCCCAGCAGCGTGCGGTTGCGGCGCAATGTGACTTGTGAATGATAGTTGAGTTGTGATTCAATACTTGTTGTTCAGTACAGTGATTGAGTTTGCTACGCGGCAACTGCACGCAATCTCGTTCAAAAGTGAATAAAATCAAAGTCCGATGGCTAACTAAAGTACGTATTATGGACAATTTTGTACTGTATTACTTACATGAGTTACATCGAGACTGAATGTTTGGATCATTTGCTGTGCCACCCCCATGCTCAGCTGTTGCTTCCATGTTTGTTCAGTGGCGGCCGCCGCACTCCGCAGTTTTTTCTTTCTGAAGAACATTAGTGTGGTCGCTAAATCTTGGAACTACATAGATCACCCAAGGACAGCTTTCTGGGGCTTGCTGAAGTAAGGAAGCAACGAAATGCGGCTTATATACGTAGAATGTGCCTATTGATCCTGAGAGTTGTTGCTCAGCGCAGGAGTGTTCTATAATAACAAGGCCACTAGTTCTCGAGCAACCATTCACCCTGACCGTGCTATATGTAGAAAATGCTTCATTATTGAGTACCTTTCGAGTTTCTCACGCAGCTTATCCTCCATCTGACGATTCCGATTCATCCGTCTGGCTGTGAGGTACAGCTTGAAGCAAATACGCCTGAAAAAGATCCAGTGTTGCACGTCTGCAGTTCACGTAGAACAACATTCTAGAGTTCTTTCAACGGCAGTATTCAGAACGAAGTTCATTTCGCGGTAATCATACGGACGGAGGAAGTGGCGAGGGCCCCCAACCATTGTTCTCAGTAGCCTCCCCCCCCCTTCCTCCGAGTAATTCAGCGCATGTTTGACAGACTCCGCCCATCCGCTTATCGCAATGCACTTAGCTCTGCTCAACCATTATCTTCTTCAATAAAGTCCTCCGTTGCAAATTTCACTTCTGATAATTTTCAACATTCGACGCTTGAGTTCTTTCTAGTCGCTCTATCCTTCGCTATGTCTATCCGAGCATTAGCGAAATTTCGCCCTTCTTACTTGTAACATTTCACTGATACGCCGCGAGCTCTCATCTACAAATTCTTGTACTCCTAGTACTTTATACGGACAGTAGTGGTATCAGAATGCTAAAAATCCCTTGAGAAAGTTCATATTCAATATAAAGCACCGAAAATACTCAGTCAGTCGTCTGTTCCTTGCACTTGCGAGATGAAATCGGTACCTGAAATAAATCATCTTCTCTTCATGACTAGTTACCAATACTATATTACTGTTACCAGAATTGAATCACGGAAGCTGAAGTATTTCTCAGTTTATTTTGGCACTCTTTTTTATTATTTTCCTCCATCATGAGAGTCAATCCTGGAATGTATTAGGAGTATAAGGGGAACGTTCTGTATGCTAGCTATCGTTGCCTACAGGAAGTTTATAGATGGCCAACGTAGCAGCTGAAGTGAGTTTACAGAAAGTTCCAGATAGGAAGGGGTTGGGACACTTCACGATAGGGGTTAAAGGTATGCTGGTCAGACAGGAAACCGCACATGAAGGCTGACTCAGTAGTGAAAGGAAACTTGCAACAAATATTTGAATACGTCGAAATCAACCTCAACTTTTCACAGCTGAATTGGCTGTTCACGGATTCACAATGGAGAATTGGAGCGCCTGAGCTGGCTAAAAAATAATTTGAGCAGGTGAGAGACTACATATACCAACATAAACGTGCGCGCTGCCCATTCCGAGGAGAAGGAGTCATTCGATTGTCGGCCAGCTCTCGGCAAAACAGGCGTATGCTTCTAATTTTAAAAGCAGTTGGCACGATAATTTGGTACCTAAAATGCTAGTAGGGCGCTGTATAGTGGGGAAATGGCGAAAGAACGGAGTGAAACGGTCAAAATCCTGCGAAGAAAAAGCCTCCGTTCTCAGTGACTTGTAAATCGATTTCGGACGAGTTTCCCGTAGGCATCTTACCAATCACCGCTACCGAAGATACGGCTGCATATGTGTACCCATGTATGCATGCAGCATCACGGCCGCTTCATACCAATCCCTTCGCTTCATAATTTGCTTAGCAAATGAATGAATACGAGTCGTCCATTTGTGGGCGGGCGGGCGTGGCGGGCGTTTGGGACGTAAAGTTGTGGCTTGATAGGGCCCTTATAAGGGCACCTTCCTCGGGGAAACCGCTATGCAGCGCCTGCCCAGGGTCGCGGAATTCTATCCTGCCAGGAGTATTGATCCTAGTCGTCTTGGGGGATTTATCGTGCCAACTGCCTTCAAGCGTCGTACACGGCTCAGCCTCCATCACTGCTGGCCAGTCTCCCACGGAGAGAATCCCTTCACTCAGCTGATCACAGGGAGCCATTCGGGTGGGGTCCTCACGGCGATGTGGGTGGACAGACTTCGAGCGGTACAAAATTGACTTGATTTCATGCTTGGCATCCTTCACCCGATCCGATGTTAGTCTTAAGATGGAACGTACCTACAGAAATTTGAGTTGAAGCTGCAACAAATGTACAATATGCTAGAAAACCCAAGAAGCACACAATAATTTTCGATGTCCATTGTTCTGGAACAATATCTCCATAACTGAAATATTCACACCCATTTTGTGCTCACACACAACTCACTTCAGTACATAAGATAGCGTCTTCAGAAGTCGTTGCAGGGCTAGGACGCGTGCGGTTGCGAAGCCGTTAATTAGGCTCTGAGGGGTGCAACCTAAGCCACGGTGACAATAATTATTCATGATGATTCTTCATTTTGTACGCACAGTCATTGCTTCACCAACTCAGACAGAGCGAGCACCTAGAACGCGAGAAATATGCCCTAGATTCAGCAGATGGACAGGGCGTGACTGCGTACTTCATTTGAACACCGCACAGGATGCGCTTTTCGTAGGACATTTCCACACAAGGCAACTGTTATCCTATCTAGTACTGAAAGACATGATTTCTATTGTCCTAAAATGGAAAGAACCCCTCCACCCAGAAGCGCAGCCGCAGCCACTCGTTAACGAAGCCCGCAGTCACTCCCTTCTTATCTCCGGGATATGGAGTGCATAAAAAGTGCGGATCGGCAGTTTACTCGCCTCGTACCTGCTTTGCTGGATGATGTTTCTAGTTTTCTGCTGAAAAAAATGGGAACTCCGAACTCACAGCAAGATAGGGTATGGTGCGGGCTGGGCGGGGTTTGGGGCCTAGGTCGTTTAATTTGCATTCTTCCGAGCACGTTTGCATTTACTGTGCTAGCCAAACGAGTTTCCTGAAATTTGTACAACATCACGGTTTCTTCGTGTGCACCGCTTCGCAACTGCTCGCATCCCAGCCTGACAGCATTGTTGAGCTGAAGAACAATTTTCCAATAGTATTACTTACCCTATGGTTGGTATCGTCACAATGGTAAACCACCATGCATTTGCAAGTGTTGAGAACTTCTCTGATTCTGAACATGAATATCGTTCAAGAAACTCTCGTCTGAAAGTCTATCTTGAATTGAGCGGCGCGATGGACGTATATTACGAGATGCTGTAATTGGTGTCTTGGCGCGATCACCAATCACGGTCAAACACTCCATAATATTAGCTAAGTTTAGCAACACCCAACTAGTGAGACTGCGAAGTTTATAATAATATCTCTATTCCAAGATTATTCGCAGATTCGATAAAATTGTAAAGTTATCACAACTATCCCGCCCAAGGTCTTCTACCTTTAACTCAGTATTCTTTTGATGGCTTTCCTAGAGCTAACTGCTGAGCTCAGGTGTAGGATCGTGACATAATAAGACCCCTAAGGCATAAAGATCCTACTTTGAACTTCCGATGAGTTCTGCAGTAGGTACACCACAAATCCTTCATTTTCGCTAATGTAGATGAGGTTGACCATGAGTAAGCATAAAATAAAAGTAATGTAGTAAGCAGCCAGTAGTTCCCATCTGAAACCAGTTTTTCTGCTATCAAAATGAAGAATGAGCAATGATCTTTAACTAATTAAAATTGCCGAGAAGGCACGGAAAACATCTGCAATAATTTCATGTGTACTGCCCATAGGAAGTCCTTCTGGCAGCACATGGTGCATGCGGTCGCAACGTGTCCCTCTCCATGGATCCATAGGCGCAGGGTAACGTTGACCATCCTTCAATCGGCTTGTACTCACCTCAGAAGGAGAGCCACCACAAGAACAACGAGAGTGTCGGAAGATTCCAGGGCCGTTACTAGTCCGTATCATTTTGCCATCAGCAGCGAATCAACCCCTCTACCCTTATGGGACTAGGCCCAGGATTCTATTTACAGCCTTGAGTTCAACGTCCGGTTGACACAGTTCAGCCATGAATCGCGCATGGATTCATTGACGAAGAAGATCGCCCTTTGAATTTACGCTAGCGCGACCAAAGAGGCGCCGCATTTGCACCAGGACCCAATCGCTTAGCTGTAGCAGTGCTGCTCAACTAATAATCAGAAGATACTCTATTAGTTCCTGCAGGTCGTCGCAACGTGGATCAAACGCACACCCATTAGGTCAATTATCTCGCCAACCTTATGCTGGACCACTGCCAAGTCATACTAGTGTAATGCCATCAACGCGAAAATAGGTGCTTGTTAATTGTGCTAACAACTACGTGTTAATTGGCAGTCAGTAGCCAACCGTATCATCTGTTCCCCTTATATGAAGACTACAAAAATTGTTACGGTGAAACTATGACAGCAGGTTCAAGTCCTACTTGCTCAGTATAACCATGTTCTTGATGAGATGCCATGTCGTCATTTGTCGATCGATATGGAATAGCCGGAGTATCTGAAACGATCGATTGGTTTTCCATCACTGTAATAGTGGGGAAATCGAGATAAGTCACAAAACTTGTCCGGAGAAAAATGACCTGAGTTAGAAGCAGACGCGGCGCGCTTCACTCTATCAATCAATACAGACGCAGGTGAGGCGCGCCTCACTCTGTCTATCAATACAAGAGGGATAGAATTTTCGTTTGCCTTCAACATTACTATTCATTTGAAAAGAGTGACGTGGTTCCGAATATGGATGTAATCTCCTTTGACCGCGCGCAACGGTGCGCTCCCTTTTCACATTATTGGACGGGTCCAAAACAAGATTGAAATGGCCTTTACCTGAATAAGTCTCAAGTAGTCGAGCGTTGCTTCTGATATGTAAGCTTTCTCCAGATATACCATCGTCGTTGTGACAACTATTATAATGAGATCTACTAAGGAGACCAAACGAGCAAGGTAACGCAGTCGTCCTAGAAAATGTGTCATAAGACCTCTTCACGAGCCGCTTGCAAAGTCGACGCCTATGTTGCGTGCGGTCGCGTCGCGTCGCTGCAAAAAAATTGGTTGATTCCGGCATTGTCACAACTAACTATTAATAATTGAAAGTGACTGGAAACACTAAACTAGCCCAAGAAACGTGACGGGACCACTCGCGTACCGTCACCGTCTACTCCTGGCAAAGACAAAGGAGAATCCTCTTTTGCTACATCTGACCTTTAATCCCACAGTATTTTGCGTCTGCCGAAATGCACCACATTCGAACACAAAATTCACAAATGAAAAATAAAGCTAACGTTACTTCCATATAAAAGTGTACATCTGCAAAATAATTATATGCACTTCTGCACGTAAAGGCACAGTCCACACTGATGGAAGAGGCGGCGACATAGGTAGGAGCACAGCAACACTGCGTATCCGTTATTGTGGCACCTTTTCTTACGAACTAAAAAAAAGGGGGGGGCGGGTGAATAATGGAGGAAGAACGATCATCTGGCTCGCCCCATGTAACAGCGTGGACTGTGCTCTTTGGAAGGCCCTCCAAGACTGCACCTCGAAGCAGAGGATCCTGCCACGTGCTAGTCGCACCAAGAATCACCGCGATAAGTACAAAGCCGAAAACCCCTGAAAAAAAACAGTATCATAAAACAGCATCCAACAAAATGCAGAAAATTTGTCCGTATTCTGGTTCGCTCTTAATGCCCCATTGAAGACATCATAACGCGTATTTATTCCGCAGGTTTTGATTCCACTTCTAGTTCTGCTCCCACGTTCCATAGGCAATTTTTCCGCACTGGGGCGCAATGTTGCCCGAGTAAAGCTACGCAGACGTAGGAATGAACTGCTGCGACGCAATTTTACACCACTTTTACACCACTTTGCGTACCGTACTCCTCAGCTCACGCCTAATTTTAATAATTTTCGAGTGTTTTATGATTGACTAGGAAAGGTCAGCTGGTCCTTTGCAATAAATTATACATCAATGTACTCGCATTGAGACGCTAAACTCAATCTTGCTTGCGAAGTTTGCGAGATGACTTGCGGAACATAATGTGAGGAGTTTTATCAGTGTCTTTTTGAGGTGAAAGACGTAGGCGGTCAGATCC